GTCCCCCCGTCCCTCGGCTCGGGAGCAGATTGTCACAGCAGGCTGCTGGCGGCCCGCGCAGGGGCCAGATGGCTCGTCCCGCTGCACCCTGTCCTTCGCTGTCACCTTTGGTCCTGCCACCTGCCCGGGGAGGCATTTCCCCCTTCTGAGCAGGTCGCTGTAAGAAGCGCCCAGGGCTGAGCCCCACCGCGCGTCGGCCCTGGAGAGGGAGCGGGAAGCAGCTGCGTGACTTGAGCCCTCCGACTGAAGCCAGCGGCTGAAGGCCTCTCTCGAGCACACAAAGACGGAAAAGAAACCAAATTGCTGCCCATCGCAGAGACCAAGAAGGAGAGATGCTCCAGGCAGGCTGCGCTGAGCAACGGGGGGTGTTTTGCCGGGGAGAGGCAGTCTTGGCCTTCACAACTCTGAGCCAAAGCCTGTTTGAGAGGAATCTGGTGGCTCTGGAATAAGTCCAAAATTATTTAATAAAGGAAGCATCTCTTGCAGCTGATGCACACAGACAATGCCACTGCGCTCTGATACATTATTAATCCAATGAGCCTTTCTGGGCCAACGTGCTGTCTTCACGGTGCATTAATGCAGCTCATTCGCAGCTCGGCCGGCCGGCCGGGCACGCTGTTGGAAGTACCGTGACACAGCGGCCACAGGGCCCCTCCGCTTTCTGTCCCTCAGCAACTGCTGCAAAGCCCTGCTGCTCTCATGCAGCCACGGGAGCAGCGCTGTCAGAGCGAGCGTGCTGCTGTCGCCGCCCCAGCAGCTCCCTTTCTGCTCCGTGCCCACCGTTGTTGCTCCAGACCTCCAAATTCTCCAGATCTCAGCCCTCATGAGGGTGCAAATCAGAAACACTCCCCTCCCCGCTGGTATCTGGCTGGGGTTTTGTTTGCAAAGCCATGGGTGCAAACACTTCTACTTTCAGACGCTTTGAAACCAGGGACACGAGGCAAAATAAAAGCTCCGCTAACTGATGCCTTGCTCCCAGAAGTGCTTTTGGCCCCGTCTGTCGGGGTCACCAGCACTGCCGTTGCCCACAGCCCCGGCAAGCCTTGAACCAGCCCCACGGCAGCTGCTCCCTCTGTCATCGCATCCTCTAGGCTGCACCTCTAGGGCTGCCCTTGGCCTGTGCAAGAGGTGCCCTGGAGGGGAAATTCATCCCAGCCAAGAGAAAACACAGCTTTAGGCACTGTGCAGAGCCTGGTTTGAAGCGCAGCTCAGATGAGCTTGTAGGGACATGTTTAACGAAGTGCCCGAACAGCCTCCGGGAAGCGGGACCCAGCCTGGTGCTCTGCCTCGGGGCATCCAGGAGCCAACCCCGGGCACGTGGCGGTACCCAGATGCTGCAGCTCGTGCCGCCCTGCAAACCCTAAAGGAACAGGCTGAAACCAAAAGGCCAGCAAGCCTGAGGAGCACGGCTAGAGCAGGAGCGTGGACTGGCAGGAGACCAGCATCCTGCCTTGCATAAATCGCTGCACCATAACCTGCCTGGGGCCTGCTAAAGCCGATACGCTTCAGTGAGATGTTTGCTTCAATGAATCAGCATTTTCCTTTGGAAAAAAACCCAAACCCCATACATCACTGAGGAAAATTCCCAACCTGCTGAGCTTAGCGGTTGGGAGGCTGAAGCCCAACACCTCGGCGAGATGCACAGCTGCACACACACACACATGCTAATAAATGCAGCCAGCTCTGCTCCCGGGAATTTGCCCACTCTTCCTAACTATACGTCAGGCTTTTTTCCAGGTCACTTGTACATTAAGAGCAGCCTCCCAGGCTGGGAGCGCCTGCGTGGGGCTCACAGCAACCCGGCACCGCTTTTTTTAGTGGTAGAGACCATTCCCAGGTGAAAGGCTGCATGTGCCGAGCTGCAACGAAAGCAGCTGCGACCTGCAGCACTTTCTTCGGGAGGAGTCAATGAAGAAAACGGCATTAATTATGGAGGGGGAAAAGCTAGCTGGAACGAGCACCGACAAGCCTCCAGAGCCCAGGATTTACAGAGAAGTTGTATAAAAGGCTGACTCCCCCATCAATAATTTAATTGGGATTTATAAAAGAGGCAACTCATGAATCGCTTCATTACTTAATAATTATAGTGAATTTGGCCTGAAAGAGTCCAGAGAAGAGCCGCAGCCCTCCCTGCCACGGCTCTGCCCGGAGCCCCGCGCCGGGGTGCTCCCCGGCGAGGAAGCAGGGATGTGGGTGCTGCTGCCCCAAGGCAGGAAGGCCACAGGGGCAGTAACGTCAACACCTTGGTCACGACTTCGGGAAAAGCTCACAGACCTGCATGTATAGCACAGTGGAAACCACTGTGGCCCTTCTGGCTACCAAAAAAAAATAATAAATAAAAACCCTCAAACCCTGGAATGGATGTGGCTAACCAGCCACCGAAACCTCCGGCTGGGCACGCCTGAGTCGCGATAGGAAAAGACTTCCAGCTACAAAGCTCCGTATCCACCCTGCATCTTTCCAGCATCCTCTTCCCACGCGCCTCCCCCACCACAAGACGAGCAGCGTATTGTTTCCCGAGTTGTTTTCACTGGGGTTTTCTTCTGCCTGGAAAGCTCCAGCCCACCGCGTTAAGAGGCTCCTTTCAGCGGTTACTTCCCTCATGGAGCGGTGCTTTGCCGGCATGCACACACACGCACGCACACGCACACACACCGCTGTGCAGTGTGCTCGGGGCCTGGCCCTGGGACAGTGTTCACACGCCCCCCGGTCTGGAGGGAAACCTAGCCCAGGCAAGGAAAGGCGCTTGGTGACAGCCCCAAAGCATCGTTCTTGGTCCCCAGCACAGCTGGAGAATCAAAGCAATTTCTGTTTCCAGCCGAAGGAAATGATTCTTTGGATCCAGAATAAAACTGCCTCATTAAGACATGCTTGGGACCAAAACTGGGAGACTTGTCCAGCAGTTTGAGAGTGAGAAAGCCATCGCTGTGCACTGCATAGGAGGAAGTAACTTCACAGTATCGCTCACCCCGCATCCCCGGGGCCAACAGCTCGCCTGCTTCTTGATGGCCCAAGCAGAAAAGCGGGCACAGTTTGCCAAAAACACCTGAGCAGACCCATCTGCCAGCTCTAGGTTAGCAAAAGAGCAAATATCCCTCCCCGACACTATGACCAGGGGCTTTAGCTAATTCAGACCTAGACAAACAGCCTCTCTCGAAAATCACTGCCGACTTGGCACGGGCTGCAGAGACGAGGCTGAGCAACGAGGCAGCAAGGGTGAAGCAAGCAGTGATACAGACTGTTCATACACTCAGATCTCCCTGGCCTGCACTGGCAGCTCGTGGGCAAGGAACAGGAAGATATTTGCACTAATGCGGCTAGGGAAGAGTGGTTTTGCACAGCTGTCAAGGCAGCTTAGGCAGGCAATCGTTGCGTTTCCCATGCCAGCCAAGCGGCAGGAGATCTGGGGCAGTGTGTGTGGGTTGAGGTTACGTTTCCAGTTCATTTTTGAGCTTTAGCATGTGATGACTGGATCACAGCTGAAATTTAGGAAATTATGAATCTAGCTGAAATTCAGCTAGGAGTCTGACAGCATAAAGTCCTGGCAGAGGAGCATGAGCAGGAGATAGGTCACCCTCCACAACCTGGTCTCCAAGAGCTGCTGAATCCCCAGACCCAAAGATGTGCTCCAAGGCCAGCAGGATTTGTCATAAAATTGTGGAAATTGTGTACATGCACCTAAACACATCTGCTTACAGAGCTCAGCCAAGATGCTGCACTCAGATTTCTTAGAGCAGAGCCACAGCTGCCTTTTGGCCCCTCACAGTCCTGCTCTCCTGGTCTCTCAGGAACGCTTTGCCCAGACCTATTTTTACCTGCTCTATATGCATAATTGAGCTCTCCCTCCTGTGCTCCGAAACTGCTCCCCAGGGCCGCTCAGATGCAGCTTTGACCGCTCCTGTGCCGCAGCAAGATCTCGGTGCTGACCCGCCAGCCCAGGCATTGTTTTGCTGTGCCCAAGCCCACAGGTGCCTCCTTCCCCCAGCTCATAGCATATTCCAGCTAAACGGATCCAGACTTCCAACAGGAGGAAAAAAAAGACTTGATAAAGGGTTAAATCACCTGAAAACAGAATTTTTCATTTTGCACCAAGTGAAACTTGTGGAACTGCCGCAAGCAAACTTCTGCTGTTCCCATTTTGATTTGCTCCTGGCTGATTTCCTCCCCAGGCCTGGGTTTAGCCACCAACCAGGAATCACCTAACCTCTGCCTCCACATTAGGTTCTCTCGGGGTTTCTCAGCAGGTCTGAAATGTGATTCCTCAGTCAGAAGCAAGGTCTGGTGAGTTATTTGCTGCCTCATGTCCCTGGAGTGAGAGCAAGCTTGTTTCTGCATGAAAAAGCCCTCCCAGAAACAGCAGCAAAATATCAAGGGAAATGGCAGAGAACACGGGACTGGGATGGTTATATGCCTGAGTAGCTATTCTGCCTGGAAACTCATTCCCACCAATGTTGTTCCTTAACTGTAGCCATCTCTAGAGAAGAGAGAGTTAAGACTGCAAAGAATCAAAGTTTCTTGAGTCATCCCTGGAGATGTCCTCCATATTTAGTGTACAAGGAAAATACAAGTTGCTAGTAATTGGCATTTCTCTGCTAATCAAGGGCTGGGCACATTGCCCTGGGTAGACTGGGGCTGTTCCCTAGAGCAGGGGAATCTCAGGGTGTAAAATAGACTGAGATTTGCAAGGAGAGCGATTGACTCAGCTCCATCCCTTTCCCCTGCCCTGGCCCTTCCTGCTTTCTCCCCTGCTCCCCAAGGGTGTTTGTCCCTGCACAGTCACACTCGAGACTGCAGCAAAGCAGTATCGGGACAGCAAGAAGGATCGGTGGGTGGATCTGGCAGAGATCAGCATCTCCAGCATGT